GCTTTTCGTAGATGATTTCCATAAGTTTAGGATTTTGATCATGGTGATGTCCGTGCCAGGTTGAGCTCATCCTTCTATGATGACGGGTACCCTAGTGTGCGTGACATTATCGATGCATTATCCAGAACATTGCCTCACTGACACGCGCATCCCAACCAGCCTCATCTGTCTTCACGTCCACGAATACTTTGTCAAGGGCTTTGATGGCTCATTTTGCCTGGACAAAGGCCTCCTATTGATTGATACTAAAAAGCAGGTCCATGTCAATGGCAGATCGACGTGTGGGTTTGAGGTGGATAATATCACCAACCTCACGCTAGATAGTGCATTCCCCTGGGCTTTGTGTCTTGCGACAACATCCAAGCCATGATTGCCCTGATCTCCGTCGAGCACGCTGGAGCCAGCCGCTGGGCCGCTGAGATGGCACAACCACAAACATCGAGAGCGCCAACAATCTCCTGAGCCCCTTCGACTCCCCGAAGATGCCCCAGGAGAAGTTCAAAAACTTGGACCTCGACGACACTGACCATGTCGCTCTCCATGTAGAAAACACCTTTGGGTGGGTACAATGCCAGTTGACGCAGCGGAATTGCAGCGCCGGGCAGGACGAGGAGACACTAGTGAATCTCGACACAGTCAGCCCTAACGTATTCGACAACAAGTACTACAGCAGCCTCTTGTGTGGTTGTGCCCCTCTTCCTTTGACCAGGTAATGTTGTCCAATTCGGCCCGTCGCCGCCGCGACCACCGCGTCGACCGTTCACAGGTTCTCCAGTAGCCTGAAGGACTTCTTCAAGAATTTTGCGGCCTCGATGGTCAAAATGGGAACAGAAGCCCGTTGACCGGAATTGCTGGGGAGATTCAGAACAACTGTCGGAGGGTGAACAGAAAACCCTATTAACGAATGAGATTGATGTTATGAGTTGTGAAATAGTTGTCCTTGTGTAAATCACTCATTTAATTCATTCTAACTGTAAAGTGTTCCTTATTATTTTCTTTGGAAACAAAAGTAAATTTTCTTTTTTTCTTCACTACATGTGATTGTCGGGAACCCATTTTTTTCATACTAGATGACTTGTTTCCGATAAACGTATTATTATCACTCTACCGTCGTTCAATCTAATCTTGTGTAAGATGAGTGCTACAGAATGACATGTCATGGAACTTATCTATTTTTTGAAGTTTTCATGTCATTGACATACCGAAACATGCATAGTTTTATATCTATTTGCAATAACATATTTACAAAGTCAAAAAGCATGCACAGTTTTATGTCTCTGATTTCAGGAGTTTTCGGATTCCGGAAAATAGAAGTAAAATATGTTAAAGAATAGCATTGGGTACAAGACACCGGCGGGAAAAGGCCATTAGTGACGAGTGTTGCCATGGAGGGAGCACGCCACTGACCTCCCGTCACTGCGAATATGTCAGCAGTGGCGGGCATGGCGCCCCACACGCTAACTAGGTTTCCCTGTTGTGTGTAGCACTGATCACCCGCCACTGGTGGGTGATAGTAACAATGGTGAGCAGACCAGAGCGCCCTCCACTGACACGTCCTGGTTAAAAAATATGGCTGCCACAACAACAACGTTTGTACACATGACTCTTTTTTTTTAGCATTAGTACAGACACAAGCGCTCATATACACGCGCATACATCCATCCTTCACGCACACTCTACCCCTATGAGCATCTCCGAGAGACTGAGCCGGCATATCATCTTGAGATTTACGAAGCCACGTAGGCGCCTCGTCGTCGATGGGAACGTCTTCTCCCACTAAAAGCGCATCGCCGGAAATCCTGAAATAAATCCAGGAATAATGCGAGCATCAGGATTTGAACCCTGGTGGGTTAGGGATACTACTGTCCATCTAACCATCTCAACCACAGGTTGGTTCGCTGTACACATGACTTATAAGGGGTAAAATCTATCTATCTATTGTGTCTACAATAGCTTACTGTAGAAATAGCTATCGCAGCCACAACCGCGAGCTCCGTGATTCGTGTTGTATGAGTGGGAGAGAGAATATGCGGGATTTTAGGAGAGTTTTTGCGGCCGCTTTGGTCAGGCAAAAGCTGCAGCTGTGGGGGCAGGGTCAGGTGGTCCTTCTGCAGTTGTGGGGTTGAGATGGGGAGATATGCGCATGTGACCGCCCATGCTGCTCGTATGGAACTTGTAGCCCTGATGGAAAACGGATGCAACGGAGTCAACCTGGCATGCTGTTGGGGCAGATTAGGTGACGCGCGCTTGCCAACCAGGAGCTAATGCTAATCAGGTATTTTATATAGCAGCCAGAAAGATTACTATTTAAGCACAAACATGCGAAAGTAATAATACGAGGGTGCGCTGACGTGGGTTCAGCTAAAACATTTGCGGTCATACAAGATTCAGTTCCAGCGCGTGGTGCGTGGGCATTAGTATGTTTAGCTTTTTTAGCAGACGCATGCATGCGTGAGACTCCGGCTGTCTAAAATTGATGGGAAGGGGTCATTTTTGACAGTCTGTACGACCCACGCGTATAGCAGGCTACAGTCTACAGATAGAGTTGGACGGGACATTTCGAGGCGGCCGTAGGCCACATGATGGCATCTCCACATGTCATCGCCGTACGCCAGGGATGCCAGGGATGCGTGGTGTGTGTGCTGCATGGATCGATGGACGCTTGTTTAACAAGATAATCAAGCGGGCTACATTCCATTGTTTGATTTTAGTTAGGTGAAATAAACATCACATAATTAACCAATTGTATAGTTTAGTCCTCCATGTGAGAGGCTGGTACTACGTGAAGAACCGGCCAAATGGGAGATGGAACTGACCGACTCTCTTATGAAGAACATGCAAATGGGGTGATGGAACCGACCGATAGATAGGTGGCGACGTCCGATGACTACACATTAAATCTTTAATTAAGGGAAATCATACTTGACCAGCTAACTCAGGGTCATGCGTGAGCATAGCCGAATGATGAAAACTCGAAGAAACGATGCAACGGAAGCAAGGAACTGCGGGGATCCGAATGATGCAAACCCGAAGAACCGATTCAATGGAAGCAAGGAACCGAGGGGATCCGAATGATGCAAACCCGAAGAACCGATGCAACGGAAGCAAGGAACCGAGGGGATCAGAATGATGCAAACCCGAAGAACCGATGCAACGGAAGCAAGGAACCGAGGGGATCAGAATGATGCAAACCCGAAGAATCGATGCAAAGGAACCAAGGAACTGAGAGGATACGAATGATACAAACCTGAAGAACCGATGAAAAGGAAGCAAGGAACCGAGGGGATCCGTATGATGCAAACCCGAAGAACCGATGCAAAGGAAGCAAGGAACCGAGGGGATCCGAATGATGCAAACCCGAAGAACCGATGCAACAGAAGCAAGGAACCGAGGGGATCCGAATGATGCAAACCCGAAGAACCGATGCAATGGAAGATTGCCATGAAGAACCTTGAAGAACCGTTCAACCTACTCAGAGGCTTTTGACAAGGCGCGAGGGATTGCCATGAAGAACCGTGAAATTTGCACTTGGAACCGAAATATTCATTTCGAGGAACCGGTGTCCCACTGTTGCCGAGCCATTGTTCACCCTATTGATAGCATGAAGAACCGTTAAATTTACCAAAATAGATTTTTGTGAAGAACCGATGTCCATCATTCATCAAAGTTATGGCAATTTAGCTCATATCAAGCCATCTACGGAACCAACTTATCAAGTGTATTCAGATATTCGGCCGGAGCACAGGCATTTAGATTCATCATGCTCTCTGGCTCGACGCATATTTCGGATACGTAATACCGACCGGAGCACGGTCATTTAGATAAGTACGCATACGTACCGCCCGTATAGATGGCGCATGTACTAGTTAGAACACGCGCATGCACACAAACCAGAGTACTAAAAAAAACAATTGACATGTGTACGTGTATACTCGGCTTCTTTGCTTAGCCATCCGTCCTTGCTAAAACTTTAATTAAGACGAGCGTACACATTGTAAAAATACTCTAACTAGGTTCTGCACTGGTAGCTCGAGGTTCAGTCAAAGGGGCCATCCAGAACTGTCGTGATGGCTTGGAACCTACCTGTTCAACCGCGCCTAGTTTATTTTTTGACAAAATTCAACCGCGCCAGTGAAGCACGTGGGGCACAACGGGGGCACAACGTGGTCCGTATGGATTGGAACCTGCTCGAACGCTTTTCACGGAGTGGAACTTGCAAGGCCACATGGATTCAAACGAACACACGGGTCGGGCCACAACCTGCAGGCTTTTCGCTGGCCGATGCAGGATAAAGTAGACAGTACTTGCCCTGGCACCCACCTCAAATAATTCATCAAATGGGAGGATAAGGCGCGTGACCATGTGAGCAGTTCCAATCTTGACGCGTTGATCAACGGTTCTGATAGCTATTTCTAGGGCAAGCTATGATAGAAAATCCTACTCATATATATATATATATATATATATATATATATATATATATAGGAAAATGGTTGTGTACTCCTGAGAGTACGTACTTCCGTTTCTCATATACTATATAGATGAATTTTTTATACCACTTTATTATTTTTAATATATATATATATATATATATATATATATATATATAAATTACAGACTCCTTAAAAATCACCATGTTAATTAATAATTATGAGCCGTTCATCTCAAATTATTACGGTTTAGATTGACTGATAATTGACCGATAAAATCCTCGCCAAAAAACAGTTCTCTTCATTGAAAAAACGAAAAAAAAAACCATGTCAACCTATCTCGGTTGTCCGCAAAAGAACGAAAAACTATCTCGGTTGTAAAAAGCGAACACAATTCCATCTCAATCGCTGCAGCTCGCCTAACAGAAAATACAATATGAGTCCAAACAAACCACGATTATAGATTCTCAAGGAAACCGGCTCCCCTGATTTTTCTTGACCTATTAGCGGCGACGTCTCACAAACCACACGATGCTGCCGCGACCGTCGCCGCCATCGACTCATTCGCGACGCTGAGGGTCGTCTGGCCGCACCGCGCCTTCGCGCCACCGGTACTATCCATCGTCGAGCCGCAGTGCCTTGAGGTGTTCCCACAGCAAGCGCTACTGCATGTTCGAGCAGTAGTGGCAGCCTAGAAGCACTTTCCATTGCAGATGACGGGATCAGATTCATGTCGATAGAGTAAACATCATGCACGCCATGGATGCACATGCATATGTGTAGTCTATAGTGACGTGTGTTGGATGCCGGATGTACGTATTTTGTACATCTACATGTCGAGTAGTACTAAAGCATGTAATCTGTCAACCAATTCAGCGTACGTGCTTTGTATGTTGTATCTAGCTAGAATCGATATGTCTGATGGTTAGCTAGCTAGCTATTGTGTACGTTGATGCATTGCTAATTGATTAATACAGATGGAGTTTATTTTTACAGGATTATGTCATAGAGGAACTGCCACTTTGCTTCGTCGTCATCGTAACCCCACGGCAGAAAGTACTCGCGTACGAACCGAGATTATGGCCCTGTTTGGTTCATAAGTTCTAGAATTTTTTCTAGTCCCAACTAAAAAGTCCCTAGTCCCTAAAAATTCCCTCCCTGATTGTTTCCAGAGACTAAAAAGTCCCTAGCCCCTTCCTAGAGGTTATTAAATGACCATGTTGCCCCTAGTATATAAAAAAATAACAATCAAACAACACCATCGGATGGCGGGCCAATGGATG